GAAGAAGCTGTGTTTCCATGGGCTCTGGCACAGCACAGATCTCCTCATGGCACTGCTGAAATCATTTTTGGTAATAGCAAAAGCTAATGACTTTGGAAGAGCAGAAGGATTTTTTTCCTTCTGCATTTCTTTCTGAGAAAGATTTCCCATAGGCGAAAGTGACCCTAATGAAAAATGGACTGAGCAGCACAGTTAGGATTATTATAATGGCACAGAGGGACTGAGAGAACCCATCTGTATCATCCACCCTAACCATGAACACCAGGGATGCTGCAAAGGCCACGGGGTTCATTCTCCATCAGTCTGACATTACTTTAAAACTTATTTTTCACAGCATGGCTGCCTGGACAGCCAGAGCTGTGGAGCACCTCAGGATAAAGACTTCCTGGTCACTGACCTCCTGCTTTTATTGCCATGCAAAGTGCTCTGCAGCAACAAACTGACAGCCGGGGCGAGCACCCGGAGATCTCCGTGCCCCAAGTGCTGCACGTCTCTCCCCTTGGAGGTGGCAAGTCCCACTCCTGGAACTTTGTCCCCTGTCCCTGGCCATGGCAAAGGGGCTGGAACCAGGTGCTTTAGGGTCCCTTCCAACCCATTCTGTGGTTCTCTGGTTCTGTGCCTGCAGCAGTGCCACGGCCGAAAGGGCGATGAGCTGCTCGGCAGCGCTGGTGGCGGAGGCAGCGGCTGATCCAGGGCACAGGACGGGATCACAGCTACGGACACGCAGCCCTCGGAGCCCCCACACAGCCTGCGAGAGCCTCTAGGAGCAAAGCCCTCGGGGGCTGCTGTGGGCCTGCCCAGCTGAGGCTGGCACGGCGGGGAGGAGCGGTGCCCCCGCACCCCAGAGGGTCACACGGCGGGCTGGGGAGCTCCTCCACGCAGCTGTCTTTCCTTTGGCTTAATTTCAAACATTCCTATTTATGCTATTTCCCCTCCCACACACCTTAGCATGATGCCTCCTCAAATGAGCCTCTCTCTCCTCTATCCTATATCCACATGTGTGTGTGGCTCCATTTCTCCATCGCTCCTGGTGCCCATCCACTGCAGCTGGATCACAGACAGCACTGGTGTCTCAGTGGAAACACACGGCAAATCCTGGAGAAGAACACGGGGGGGAGCACAGCCAACAGCCCATCCTGGTGGGAATGTCTCCTTCTCCATCTGCAGTGGGGGTGTCCTTGCCAAACCCTTGGCCTGAGCCATGCCCAGGGGTTACTCTGTCACAGAGGGAGCCTTGGGCACTCCTGCTTCCTCATTTGCCTGTGGTATGTTTTCCATGCCCATAAACACACTCTTCCTTCCCTGGCCAAGGAAGGGAGCTGGACCAAGATGGCAGCGTGATTCTGGACTGGTCATCCCTCAAAATCCCCACATGTGCATCACACCCCGGGATGCAGCAGCTCTTTCAGAGCCCCGGTATCCTGACAGCACCATGGGCAGCCCCATGTGGTTGCCAGGTTCCCACACGCTCTCCAACCCACACCCAAACTTGCAATCCTCTTCCTTCCACAGATTTGTTTTATCTCTTTGGGAGCCTGATGCCTCCCATCTGTTCCAATGCCAAATGAAATTAAATATTTGTAGTTTCCAAGGGCTGTGGTTAGCAATAAACAAGTTAGCTAACAAGGATTTGGTGTGCTGGGGAGCTGGGGGTGTCTGTGTGGGTTGCAGGAGAGTGGGTGTGTGTGAGGGTGGGATGCAGAGGGGGATGCAGGGCTTTGTGTACATTTTTCTTTAACGAAACCTTTAATTTTAGAATGGCTTTCCACACCAGAACAGCTCGCCGGGCTCTCAATAGCGAGTAAACTCTACTTAGTTATTTACAGCAAGTTTGTTTATTGCACAGTTTATGTTTATAAGCAACATTTGTCTAATCTCCCAAATCTTTCCAAAGGAATTTTGGAGGCCGCTTTTGGGGCCTGACAGCCTCTGGCGGTGCGGGGCACAGCCCTGCCAGCCGCCATCCCCAGACGGTGCTGCTTGCCCTACCCGAGCGCACGCAAGTGTAAACGGGATTTAGGGATTTTCCCGTTGCATTCCTTCTTAATTTCTGTCTGTGCCTCAGCTGGTATTTTGTTGCTAAGTAACACTTTGGAGTTTGGAAGCATTTATGCAAGGGTGCTGCTCCCCACAGCTGCAGCCACCTCGCTGCCACTGTGAGTCACAGCGGTCTCCAGCACGGCCACCACCACACAGGCCAAAACCACACTGTCCCCAACCTGTCCCCTCTGCCTGTGCTCTGAGCACGTGCACACACACACACACCCACCCACGGCCACGATTTCGGATGCCAAAGTTCACCAATTCCTGGCGTTTCTGTGAGGCGGTTGGGCCACGCCTGACGTCACTGAAAATTAATAATTTGCAGTTGTTTAGAAGAAACATTTGGTTGATATTTCCTTTCCATGTACTGTGAACAGAGGACACCCATTTTTTCCTATTAAACTACTTAAAGAGTTGACTCTGAAAATGAGAAGCATTTCCTCCAGTTCCACAAGTTTATTGTGTGTGAATCCCTAGAAGAATTTGGCAATAATAATTAAAATAAGGAAGGATGATGCACCACCAAATGTATTTACTGTAATATCAGTGGTGTGAAAGATGTGCTTGGAAACCTATGCAAATCACTGAATAACTTTTTTACCAAGCCACAGCTGGTTGAAAGCATTTTCAGTAAAACAGAATTTCATCTAAACACACTATTTTATCAGGACTGACACGTCCAGCACAACAGCGCTCAGTTCAACTTAAGCTTTTCTTAGGAATGTTCTGCTTTCCAGAAGAGAAAGTTCAATTGGAAGTGTGAGTCTTAAGAGTTTAATATATTCCATTTCTAACTGTTTTTGTTTTAAATGTCATGTATTTATGGTCCTTGGGACCAATAGTGCTTGGTAAAATGTCCAAGGCATGGTGCCTGTCTGCACCGTGGCTGTGGGGCTGCGTGGGGCTGCCCAGCCCAGCCCAGCCCAGCTCCCCGGGGCTGCCCTGCTCTCCTCTCCTCTCCTCTCCCCTCGAGCTGCCAGCCGGGGATCAGACTGCAAGCTGAGAACGCAAACTGCTGTGGGAGCTAAATCTAGCTTCCTCCAAACAAGCCACAGCTACTGAGGCTTTCAACGTGGCTGGTTTTCCTCCCGCTTGCTGGGAAGGGACACGCACTTGGAATGAGGGCAGACCGCGGCAGGGCCGTGGGGGGAGAAGTGGGGTACGACAGCGAGGGAAATAGGTGGTTTTAACACTCCTCCTAAAGAAGGAATTTTCACCCTTCAGCAGCATCCACGTGTGTTAGCAGAACTGCCAGTCTCTGGGCTGATGATGCTGTGACTGCTCCGTTCCTCCTTTTTCCCAGGCCATGTTATCCCATGCACCCACTCCTCTGCTCTAACGAACCTCTGTTTCTCCAGCCTCTGTGATAATGGAAATAATACAACTTCTCCACTGTCCCTTCCTTCCTTCCTCAGCTTTTGGCATTTTAGCAACCTCCCCTTGCCCACAGAAGCAATCCTGCCTTCACCTGCCCTGCTGGGTTGGGGCAGAGCTGGCTCAGGAACCCACGTCAGTGCTTGTATCAACCTGAGGCTCCCCAACAGTGACTCATTTTCTCTTCCAGTGATTCCTGTTCCCTTCAGCTGACCAGGCTTCAGGAAAGTTCCTCTGGGCATGGCTGTGAACAGCCTTGCTCTTTCTACTTTCCATTTGTCCCGCAGAGCATTTTCTGGTCTCTTGAAGAAGTTGCTTTTGTGCTTGGTTGCCACCAGTTGCCTGAACAGCCTGTCCCCTGAGCTCCCACTCCTTCCTAGCCCCACAGCTTTCCTACCAGCCCTTCTCACCCTGGAATCGCTCTGCTAGGGATGCCAGCCTGGCCAGGGCTGCCACACGCCAAGATGTGCTCTCAAACACCGGGAATACTTGTGCTATCTGTATGACTATTAAGTGCTCCCGGCCCCTTACAGAGTGCTCCACGGTAGCTGAGAATTTCCAGAAACTATCGTTTTCTTTCAGTGGCAGATGGGTTGAATTTGATTAAGTTTTGCCTCATCCACCGTGATCTGTTAATGATGATGAGATTGGCATGGAAAACACTGTTTTCCACAAGATTAGAGAGGACTTTTATTGGGTGGGGGACACTGAGAACTTTACTGCAGCCAAGAATTTTTTTTCTCCAGCATTGTTGAACTACTGAAACAGCACAGGGTCACTTGGAAAACTTCTCGATCCTTGTTTTCCTAATTACTGTCATTCTGCATAGATGAATTTTCATTCTTACACGAACCGGGGCAGGAGGAGACTAATTTCCAGAAGGTTTTTGTAATGGCGTCTCTTACAAAGCCTCATCTTATCTAAAGGAAGGGGGACATCAACTTTCTTCGCTTCCCAGGAGCAAAGTAAATAACTGCGCAGGCAGCACCGCAGCCGTAGGGATGGGAGCTCCGGCAGGGTCAGGGTGGATCTGGGGGTCCCAGCTGCTGTCGCTTCCCCTGTCCAAACCGTACCGCGGGGAGGGAAGGCTGTCAGAGGTGTCACGGCGCACGGGGTTCGGCTCCCCGACAGAGCCGGAGGTCCCCGCGGCGAGTCCCATCCCCAAGGAAGGAGCGGCGGCATTTTCGGGGAGGCTGCGGTGACGGCGCCGCGGAGAAAGGCTCGGTACCGGTACCGGTACCTGCCCCAGGTTCCGGGACAGCTCCAGACCGGCAGCCGCTCTGCTCTGGGAGCCCGGGACGCGGCCGGAGCCGCGCAGGTGGAGCCGCGGGGAGCCCGCACGGCCCCGGCCGGTCCCGCCGGCTCCCACGGCCGCACGTCGGGCGCTGGGCGCCGGCTCCGTCCCCTAGTCGGTCTTCCCCGTCCCCGACCCCATCCACGTCCCCGCGCCGTTCGCGTTCCCATCCCCGTCTCCATCCCCGTCTCCATCTCCATCCCCGTCCCGCGGCCGCGCCCCGCGCAGCTCCCGTCCGCCGCGGCCCGGGCACCGTCGGAGCGGCGGCGCCGTGGCGGGACTCACTCACCACCACGAGGAGTCGGCGCGGGGCGTCAAGGCAAGCAGGAGAAGGACGAGGGGAAGGCAAAGCCGGGGGGCCGCGCCCGCCGTCCGAGGGAAGGCTCCGCACTCCGCACGCCCGGGGGCCACGGCAATCCCAGGAGACGCTTCCAGGCGGTTTGGGCTGAGCATATCTCTCCGGGGCGGGGTCCAGACGGAGAAATGACCGGGGAAGGGGGTCCTGCCCGCGCTCCCCTCGGGGCACTGCCCGTCACGGCCCCGCGGCGCGTCCGCCGGCTCCGCGCTGCTGAGCGAGCCCCGGCTGGGCCCCCGCGCCCAGGCTCATGCTGCCGCGGGGGCGGGGGGCTCCCCGCGGGGCTGGGGGCGCTCAGCGGGGCCCGCACCCCCCGAGCGGCGCGGGGCGGGCGGCGGGGCCGGGCCGGGCCATGGAGGTCCTTGCGCGGAGGGCGAGCGCGCTCTGGGGATGGGAGCGCGGGGGCCGCGGCCAAATATTGCCGGAGCCCGCCGTGCTGCGGGCTCTCATTGGGCAGAGTCAGAGACGCGGAGCCGCCGCTCCGGCCGCACCGACCCCCGCCTCCCCGGGGGCACGTCGGACAGCCCCCTCCGGGCTCCTGCCCCCGCCGCCGCCCCGCTCCGGGGCCGCTCCCACCGCCGCGCCCGCACCCGCGGGGATGCGGCGCGGAGCCGCCGGTCGCGGCCGCCCCGTCGGGCCCCGTCCGGGAAAGGGGCTGAGCGGCGCGGCGGGATGCGGGATGCGGGATGCGGGGGCCGGGGCCGGGGCCGGTCCGCCCGCGCTCCTCCCGCCAGGTGTCACTGCTGGGTGGCAAACCGGAGCTGAGCCCGCTCCGCGGGGCCCTGCGGGGCTCCGAACCCGCCGGCGGCCGCGCCCGCCCGTCGCAGCTCCCGCGGCCCCGGGGCGGGCCGGAACGGGCAGCGCACGGAGATCGCCGTGCCGGGAGCGGCTGGCTCCGCTGCCAGGCGGCCGGGAAGGTCCCAGGCGTGGGGCGGAGGCGGTGCAGACCCCACAGGTGCCCAGGGACCTGCAGGGAGCGGTCTGAGGGACAGGGACACAGTGGGCATACACTCCTGGGATGGTGCTGGCCACAGCTGAAGTGGCCATCGGGTATCAGTGTCTAAGTTCAGACACAGCCCTTTGCACTAATTTGGCGAGGGCTCTCCCTCCTCTATGTGCCTCTGTCACCTGTGGCTGTGGGACAGGGAGAGCTGGTGGATGAGCTGCCCTGGGCTTTCAGCTTTCCTTCCTTCATCACCCTAAAACTGGTGACTGACAGCTGGCGAAGGCCAGCCTTGCCTGGCACTTCCCTATTCCCCATGCAGTCCCTGGCTGGTCTTTCCACACCATGGAGGTGAGCAGGCATTTTGGTAACCTCTCACTGTCAGCCACATTTGTGATATACCTGATTAATTACTGGGATTGTAAACCCCATTATCCACCAAAGTCCTTTCCACATTGCCAGAGCCCTCAGCTGCCCCCTCCCCTCAAGCCAGCTCCGCTCACTCTGCTCTTTCCTTCCTATTCCTGTTGTTCAGATCAGAGAGAAACTTCCCCAGCCTAGAAGAAACAGGGACTAGGAGCTCACACATGGTTAAAATCCAATTATACTTCAGAAAGCTGCAGTGACAGAAAGCTGGTGCTGGTGGGGTGCTGTCCTTTTGTCTGAGTACCCACACAGAATATTGCATTACAGTTTATCCCCAAAGTGGTGGCACTGAAAAGGCTGATATTTATAGACTGTGGAAGGCTGTGAATTTGTTTAGAAGACCCGTGACAGTGGGCAGAATGCTGGACGCTCTGCTGTGACCATTTTGTGGGCTTTTCTCTGTTACTGGGTTGTTTCTACACAAAGACAGGAGGCTGAGTACCCTGGATCCTGCTCTCATGGGGAGGGAAAGGGAGGAGGTGACAAGCACGATGTCCATGTGAATGTGCAGGTCTTGGCCGTGATGTGGTGCTGGGCCAGAGACCTCCGGCTCAGGCTGAAACTCAGGGTGAGAGCAAGAGGCAGCAGTGCAGGCAGCAGTGCCAGCCCTGGCAGGGGAGGGTGACAGTGTCTGCAGGAGGGATCACAGCTAAATTTTGGTGTGGAAGTGAAATGCTCAGGCTGGGTGCTAGAGCTTTGCACCCAGGATACTGAATTTCTCTGTCAGCCTGGTGACTCATTTGAGGCTTCTCCCCATAAAACCCACCTGACAGCCCATGGACTGCCCTGGGTTTGTACAAGGCTCTCCCTGCATTGGGCATTGAAGATGCCAGGGCAGATCTCACTCCTCCAACTGGGCAGAGCCTCATGTTTGATCTTCCATTCAAATTAGCAGTGCTCAGGGTGACGGGGTGCTTCATCCACATGAGCTGTGGTGAGTAAATAAACAAGGCTCTGCTTTCAAAGGCTTTCACAATTCATTAACTTCAAAGGAATGGGCTCTCTATTTTCTTAGCAGGTCGGTCATTCCACAGAGTTACTCTGGGTGCTGAAGGTGGTGACTGGTCCTGCCAGGACGCTGGGACAGCTGCTGCAGGGCCCAGTGTCACACACAGAGCTGTGGCGGGGGCAGAGGCGCAGTCCGTGGTCAGTGTTATGCCTAAGGAGGAGAGCAGGGTAAGTAAATGTATGGGCAAGACTGGTCTGTAGCATCCCCTGCTCCAAAGAGCTGCTCCATAGGTGGCACCCAGTCTGCAGTGTGCTCCAGGCACCATCAGACAGGGTTTGGAAGCCATAGATGAGTACCAGAGCCTCCCCCTCTCTGCAGAAGTCACCCCATCTTTGCTGGAGATGAAGGCAGTGGGATGTCTGCCCCTGCCCTCTCCAGCTGTGTCTCCTGCTGGCGCTGGGTCCTGCTGTCATCGTGCAGCCGTGCCTCCGAATCCCATGCTGGGCACTGCCAAGGAGCTCACCTCTCACGTGGCAGCACCAGGAATAACTCGGAGCCTTGCATAATCACAGGGAAAAATCACTGTCCTGGGATAACCCTCAGTGCCAGGCTGGCTCACCTCATGGGAAACCCTTTTTCTCAGGGAACAAAGACCTATTATAGACATTTATTGCGAACTTATTTTGGGGTTGATAATGCAGCTCAACCAAGCTCCTGAACTTTTAGGGAAGGGACTGGTGAGGGGCTGTGTGCTGTTGGGACCGCGGCCTCCTCAAGCTCATTTTCTCTCCAGCCACAGCACAGCAGAGGACACATTGCTGACATTATCACTGCCCAGTACAGTGGCACCAGTGGAGCCCCAGGAGAGAGGTGGGCTTGAGACAGGCAGTCCTGCTCAATGCTGGGGTATCTGCTGTTGGCAGAGCTGGCCCTGGACCCCCACATTGCCCAGACTGTGCCAAGGAAGATGCTCAGGAGCAGTTCCAGCTGTCTGGAGACAGGGTAGGGGTTCCTTTCCAGGGTGGGTAAGGGGTTCCTTGCTGAGGGACTACACCAGGACGTGAGGGCCATGGGAGCCCAGGGCCCTCTGCAAGCTGTGCCTGGTCCAGCAAAGGCGAGCACGTGGTTAGTGTTGGGTCCTGGTGACTCCAGCACTTGGCTGGGGTAGGAAGGTCTTTTATCCCCCAGAAGAGCACAGCTCCCAAAGGCTGAGCAGTTCCCTGTTATCGCCTGGCTATCTCCTTGGGCTCTGAGATGGTGAGGACGCATTTCGGATGGATACAAATAACCAGAGCAATGAGTTGACCCTTCAATATGGCCCCCACCTCCATAGAATCAGAAGCCAAACAAACAGGCACAGGGCAGCCCTGTTAGCAGAGTGACAGCATGTGCTTAGTTAGTCTATCCCCTGCTTCCAGTGTTAATTGCTTTGTTCCTTCTCAGATTAATGGATGAATTGCTGTGTGGACATGCAGTGCCTCTCCTTGCAGCCATGTGGTGTGTGTGTAACCCTTTGGTCTCCGTTGCCATCTGGGCACAGACATTGTGGGGACATCTTCCCACCCACATGTGCTCACTGGTGCCTGGCTGGAGCAGAGCACTCCTGCCTGTTAGATGTGGGAAGGGGATCAGGCTGTAGGCTCAGCTGCAAGCAGGAGTAAAGGTCAAGTAGTGAAATTAAACCCTGATGTCAGACCTGCATTTCCAACCAGCAGCTTTGTGCCTCACCGACGCCTTTGCCAGGTGTGGTGTACTGGAAAGGACTGGTTTCCCATCACAAGATCCATCCCATACTGTGGCATCAGCTCGGACCTGGCACCATCCCTCCCTTGCTTGCCCACCAGACCGACAGGCTTCTGCTGGAGCTGCTCAGTGTGCCCGAGCACCCAGGTTCAGATGGATCACCGCAACCCCAGCTGTGTTAGTCATAGAAGTCACCGAAGGCCAGAAATGGTGCAATAACGCCTAAAAATACCCACAGTGCGCCTGCAGTGCCGGTTTCCATCATCCTGCAGAGGCATCTGTGTATCGTGCGTGCGGGAGAGCCGGGAGAGAGCGCCCATAAATCTGCCGGGCGCTCCCGGCCGTGCCGCCGGCCCGGGCTGTCAGCGGCACAGCAGACAGGGCTGACACTTGACAGGCCTGTGGAAAAACACGCCGTGACATCACGCAGAGACACCAGCCCACTGATTAATCTCCGAGGTCAGTGGCTGCTTTATTTTTAACCAGGGAAGGGTCTGAGGTGGGTTTTTACAGGAGTGGAGCAGCACGGGCTGCCTGTTCCTCCTCCCTGGCGCAGCTGCCCGTGCACATCTCTGCCTCCTCTGGACCCTGCCCGAGCAGCTGAGACGGGGCTCAGGGGCACCGCGGTCCAGCCTAAACCAGCACTGGAGCCTAGCTGCAGGGACTGATCCCACTGTGCCACCGGTGCACCTTGCCTGCACTCCAGCTGTTTTCTTTGCTCCTGGAGTTTCTCCTTACCCTCCCCAGCAGGCAGCTCAATTCCCCCCAAAACACAGCACATCAAACTTGAAATGTTTTGTAAAACTCTGTCAAGCTTTGGAGGGAAATGAAGGTGGTCCCCAGGGGAAAAACATTCTATTTCTTCAATTTCAAAACAACATTTCCCATTTCCAGAGGCTATATACTCTGTGGTTTTTAACATTTTCACTCTGCTTTATAATACAAACCAAAATTACAGTTAAAATAATATATTTTGAGTTTATCAGTTTGAAGCATTTCAAGCCATCAATTTCTCTAGGTTTTATTTTACAGATAACCTGGAAAGCTTTGGGGTGGGTGATTCTGAATTGGAACAGAAACAAATTTCAAAATGTTTTGCAAAGGCAGAACTTCATCCCTGTTGCCAAGTGGGAAGTGGCCAAGGAAGAAAAAAAGCCCTATCAGGTATATCTCTAGCATTGTTTCTAAGTGGAGAATTTTCCCTGTGATTAATGAAAATGGGGAAATAGGGCCAAATCC